GGGGGGGGGAGGCGGGAGATCGTTCAACACCACCTGTTGCATTTTGAGCCGCGTCTGGGTTCAGCCCAACAATGTACACCTTGCTCTTGGTAGTCCGCTCCACGCGCGTGCCACCCTCCTGAAAAATACTGTAAAATTATGTGTGGATTTTCACGCTAGGCGTGATTTTCACGCTTCGTAAACTTCACGCAGAAAATCAGGAATCGAATTTCATCACGCAGGGAGTGAAAATCAGGCCTGGGAGCCGGTCCCCTGCGCCTGGTGGGTATGCAGTCCCGGATGGAGCCGTGCGGGCGGGTTGCATAGTACAAAAGTGCGCGCCGTGAATCAGCCACCTGGTATACTAGTATGGTTCGGTATGGTTATAACCATATGGGGCCAGTGCGTTAAGGTCTCCAATGGTACATGTACATGTTAATCAATTCTAATTCTAGTATAAAGGATACTAAGTTAGTTCAAATGTGTACATGGTAAATTTTTTAACGACTATGTTAAGTGTACCATGTACCCATTTGAATAACGAGGGGGAAGGGGGGGGGGTGTGTCAAATACTTCGTCACACAAGAATACAAGGAAATACACAGGCATTCACGGTAATACATCAAGATACACGTCAAAGAATTCAAAAAATAGAAGAAACGCGGTTGGCCGTCTTTTTGACTATAAAGGGTGAATAGGCCAGGGAAAACGCCCCGAATGTGGTTTGTGTTTTATTATAATATAAATAGGTTCTTTATCTATGTACATTGAAAATTTGGATGTCGTATTGTCAGACAAGCCGGTTAACGCAGCAGCAGCGTGTTATAAGCCCGTGCTCGTAACATGACTTAGCGTGAAGGAAAGAGCAGTCCGCCAGCTCGCACTGAGGTGGTAGGGCTGAAACAAAAAATACATCGGATCACACATAATCTAAAACAAAACGGATGGTTCACATTGTTACATCCCAGTTCTTGTCTGTTCCATACAAAAGACTGTGGCTGGAGGACTGATGAGTACAAATCCTTGGAAAAAATTTCGTTCGTTTGGCTCCATATCTAACCATTTAGGCGCCAGGGCTCGGTAACTTATCATAACACGTCCGAATGCTATTTACTCAACGTAACAAAACACATGTTAAACTAAATGTAGAAGTTATGAATTTTCAAATATGACTGACATTAATCGTAGATACCGTGGTAAAGAGTTGGGCAAGTCGCATGACTAACTGATTTTTTAAAGGTAACAATAAAAGCTATAAGATATAACTTTACTAACGCTCAAAGCTGTCAAGTAATAAGTTACGGAGCCCTGGCTGGGTGCTACAGCAGGGAGTTCATCTGACAGAAAACAAAAATTATAAAAAAATATCTTATATTAGGTTTCCGAAGTAGTAGCTTCGTCAGAATAGAATCCTTAAAAATAAAAATAATAAAAATAAAAAATAAAAATGAGTGTTTGATTTTGCACGTCAATTGTTCAAGTGAAAGTGTGCATTTTTTCAACACATTGTGATGTCTAACTTTGTTAAACGTCAATTGGTGTTTAAACTTTCGACACTCCCGAAAAGTATAGCAACTGCACACAATACGGTTCGTATTGATAGCATAGAACTGTGAGTGTCCAAGTGTGCAGAATTTAAACGTTTACAAAACGTTTAAAATGTGCACACAACGCAAGTGTGCAACTTGAAAAACACCATGTAATGTTTCAAATCGTATCTTGCACACGTTGGTGTGCAAATTGTGCACACTTGTTTTACCAGTGTCGTTTTGCATCATTTTTACCGAATATAGCCACTACAGGGAAGGTTTTCAATTAAACGAAAAGGCTACACTACGGTCAAAATATATAAAAAAAGAAAAAGAAAAGATAAGGTAAGACTACCCCTACCCCCCCCCCTCCCCTCCTTTTTTCATAAACGTGTAATATTTAAAAACTTTGGACCAGTATTGCCTTACCGACCGTCAAATAAGTAAGGTGACAGCTCTTCTCCTCCCCCTCCGATTATTCTTTAAAATCTTTCCTTTTAAGCAGAAGAGCGGGACTATTTTGTGGTGGTGGCAAGGTAAATTGTGTGCCTGTGTATGTTACTCACGTTGATTATCCCGGAGGCAGCAACACGCGTCGTGCAGCAGTCGGTCCCCACAGTAGCTGTACACAGAGGGGTCGCAGAGCGGGCAGTCGGGTCGCCTTCGCGCGGGACCGAACCCAAAGGCTGGGCCTAGAACGCCCTCGATGCCCAAATTTCTTGACTGCCCTGGCCTTTGTAAAGGTGCACCACCTGAGAGGCCGAACCCTCCGGCTGCATCAGCCAAGAGGCGGGATTCCGGGGCGGCTGCAGCAGGAGTGCTGCGCCCCGCCTCAGGAAAGGTCACTGCAAAGTTGAGAATTCCAATTATTGCTATATAAAGTTAAGAATTTTGTCGTTTCCACGCTCAGCGCGCGCTCACGCTGGCGTGAGCGCGGAGGGCGAGAGGGGAAGCGGGGGACGAAGAGGTTTAGCAGTTCTTCCGCCGCTGCCTCCCCGCACCCTGCCCCTCGCCCGCCACACGCCGGCGTGAGCGCGCGCTGCTCTAAGCGTGAAAACGACCAATTCTTAATTGGATGTAGCATATGGCGGTGAGCGACAGCGCCTGCGAAGCGAGCGATATGCCGACCCGTCGAACCGCGAAGTGCGGTGGGCTGCCTACCCTCGCGGCGGTCCGACCGCTGCGTGAGCGGGCTGGCCCGCCTCCCGGCCCCAGCACGCCGCCCGGCCCACCCACACGCGGACACGCTCCGATAAACCAAATTAATGTATAACCGGTAACTTGCACTTGTTAGTGAGCACTCTGTCTGCTCAGCACTTCCCTCAAAGTGTACGTTCAATAGAAGCAGGTATTCAACCAAGGAGTTTGTACATTTTACAATTTCATTACTACCGAGCTGAATATACGCATGTGCACAACCAAAAAGTTGTACAATTCTGCAACTTGCAGTTCACACTTACAACTGATGAGCAACCGGGCATTTCGTTTACCAGTGTGTGCTTTCCAATATTAAGCATCTAGGAAAGGGTAAAGGAAAGTACCCGCATGTGCAGCTTATATAATCGTGAATCATCGACTCACGTAGCGTAGGCAATCAAACCATAAGAAGTTTTAAATGTGAGAGTACGAACTCCTTCATTACCTTTTGCTGGCGAGACGAACGGTAGCACAGTCAGGCACTGAACTATGATGACGACGAGGCAACTGTGTCCGGTGGGCAACATGGTGAAGTCTGAAAGCAGAGTTGTACGATGCACCAAGGTTCTCTCCAAAAACAAGAGTGTGTGACAGCCAAATACAATGTACGTAGTGCGAGCCAATTTGGTATTCACAGGAGTATGTGAGCCAATAATGATTGGGGTTCACAAAAGTAAGTGTGCCCGACGTGCCATACACCAAAGTATGAGTGCCAGACGTGGTATCCACGCAAGGGTATCACTGGAAAAACTAATGTGACATGCGTCACATTACAAGTTTCACGTCCTTCGTATGTCGCATGTGTGGTGGTGTGACCGCATTTTTGGTCACGTTTGTGGTGTGACCACCAATGTGTTCGGCCTATACCTTCTTGGTTGATGTCGCATCAATTGGTGTGACCGGCACTCAGGTCACATTACGCAGTGTGACCAAAACCGGTCACACCTTATATTGAAGTGACACATGTCACATTAGTTTTTCCAGTGATGTGCCATAGACGTGGCACACACAGTTTTTCTCTTGATGCTGCAGGACTTAATCTCGTAAGATCTGCTCATCGTGTTAATTTGAGGCCGCTCTGTCTTACATACGAACATGTTCACTGTGAAATTCCTGCAAAGCAGGACTGCGAAGTATTTAGATTCTTCGTAACTGCGAAGGATTTACTTTGCAATTACAAAGCGACATGCTTTGCAGTTACAAAGCGACGCTCTTCAGCGTGTTTCCTTGCTTCGCAATTGCAAAGCATCGACGACTCAGGTGTACCGCTCGGTTAGCCCCGGTCCTTGGTTTTCAAGGACATTTTTTCATTTTCAAGGACCAAAACACCGTTTCAAGCACGGGTCCTTGAAAATGGGCAGAAAATGGCTGTTTTCAAGGGCCGTCCTGGAAAACCGACGACCAGTATTCAAGGACAGGGTCACATCGAGTCAAGGACAACGTCCCTTTTCGGAGTAGAACTTTATACCCCATGAAAACGTGTGATAATGTCAAATGTAAAACAACAACAACAACAACACGTTTACATTTCTTGTTAACTGCTAAGTGAACCCATGTTTAGGGAAATACAGTAGTTGCCTAATAGTTTGAAAATGAACAATTTTGTTGGTGGCGTGGTGTGGACTTCACGAAGAAGTTGTCGTGATTGTCACATAAGACATGTGGGTGCGCGTCTCCTTCAAGGATCTGCACAACATAAAACCACTTCAGCAGTTTTCGTTTTACGAAGAATTCGATTTTTAATATACAAAGGATCTAAAGAAGCCATATTACAAACGATTTTTCTTCATATTACGAGCAGCACCCATTAGTAATGAGAAAAGCCTCGTTTGTAATACAAACCAGGCTCCTCGTAATACAAACAATTTAATTGTAGTACAAATGCTCCAAATTCTTTGTGCGTTACGAAGAGCAGTTGTTCGTAAGAAATCGACCCCTATCGTCCTACTGCAGAAATGCAACAGGTGGGCGCGGCAACTGCAGCTATACCGGACGAATTGTGCAATATTAGTGCTTGGCGCGGAGAGAAAGGGGGGGGGGGCGTTAGTTGATCGTCCTAACATCACCGTCCCAACAATCACTACTGTGCCCTAAAGCATGTCCTGAAGGTGTCCCAGGGACCTGTGGACGCCCGCCCTCGTGCCCTCGTAGTAACGCCGCGCCGAGGCCGCTGAGACCGCTGAGGCTGCCGAGGCCTCGACTTCAACGACGAGCACCTCCGGCTGCTGCTACTAGGTCCAGCGCACGTCCAGGGCATGGGCGAGCACCACCTCGTCACAACTCACTCGCCCAACAACAGTCTGGTATCAGCATAGACGTACCGGGTGTAACTGTGAATGCGCAGCAGTGTTAGGGATTGCATACCCGCCAGGGCTGCAGTGGCCATAGCGCCTTACGGGCGAATTGGGTAGGCAAACCCGCAACACTGCTGCGCACTCACAGTTACACTCGGTACAACGGGAACGCACAAGGCTGTGAATCTCAGAACAAAGAGGAGTCAGTGAAGTTTTAAAACGCAACAAAATGTATGATAACTAACAATTATCTTGTGCCAGGTTTTTTTTATCGGAAAGATCGTGTAGACAGAAATACAAAAATTACAAACTCAGAGGACCCTGACTCATACTGACCCGAAGTCAATATTCGTGCACTGACTGGTTGAATTAACACTTAAGTATTCCAATCCAAATCCTTCCTGAACTGAACCCCCGGCATGCCCGGGGTGGTACAGCATCCTCGGGCCAGGTGATGTACACCAGCACTGGTGCAGGCCGGGTTGCGCTCTCGGCCAGCCAACAAACCTTGGCTGGCTCGCCAGCAGCGTGAGCCCGCGGTCCTCTAAATACGTCGCCTGCATTGCACAAGGTGGCTAGCAACAGTGCAGTCCGGCCAGCAGGGCGCGGAGGAAGGCAGGAGCTCGCCGAGCGCGCCGGGCAGGCCAAGGACTCGCCAGTAAAGCGCCCGCCGCGCTGGACATCGTCGGGGCGCACGCGCACGCGCACGCGCACGCCGTGCAGCGGGGCGTGGTGACTCGTTGACATGCCGTGACGCGGATGTGAATGACCCCTGGAGGGGCTCGGAGGGGCTCCCACCGGGCGCCGCTCATGGAGCCGCTCATGGAGCCGGCTCGGACCCGTCCCGTCCGCCCACTGGCCAAGCCACTGGCTCGCCCGCACCACGCGGCCCCGCCGCGAGGCCTCCAGGCGCCTCCAGGTCCCAAAGAACACGACGCAGGACGGGATTCCTCGCGGAGTGCCGCACCTTGCTCGTGTTGACGTTTGGAACGCTAGGCGGGGGAGGGGAGGGGTAGGGGAACATGGGGGTAATATGGAGGTGACTATCGTGTCCCTCGACTCCCTGACTAGGGGTTGGCCTGCAGACAGCTAGGCAAGAGGAAAAGAAGAGGAGGAGTGGGGCGGAGGGGAAGGGCAGAGGATTTGGGAATGCGGACCGGGCTGCCAATGACAGGCGGGGTGGGGCGGGGCGGGGCGGGGCGTCACACGCCGACGGCTGGCTCGCGGAATGCATCCCGAACATTTCCCTCCACTTCCGCGTGATTCGCGGCATTTGTAGAAGTCATAGATGAAAGAGAGGGTCTTCATTCAACCTGAGTGATTTGGCCAATTCCAGAGAGGGTGTCCGTAAATACGCCTTGCCAATAAAGCACACTCTCGTGGGCCAGGCACGTGATATGTGCTACAAATTGTCTAGAAACATTCATGGATGCTGAGCTTCCACCGCTACCCTTGCTGCGCCTCCTGGATTAGCCATTCAGAAAAAATTACACACAATAGTCATGACGTGCGGGCACGAAACTGAAATCGATTGTTATCTGACCACATAGATTTCCTCGGATTTCCTATTAAGAAGCCACGACGTAGACGTAATTTGATACAGAATTTACTCTGGCAACCCAAGTGTTTACATTTGCGCACAGTTACAACCTTACGAAGCAACATACCAAATCCTTCGTAGGTACGAAGCAAATGCTTATTACCTACGAAGGATTTGGCATATTGCTTCGTAAGGTTTTAACAGAGCGTTGTTTGCTGAATTGCTACAGGTATGCAGCAAATAGTGTGTACATTTGTACACGTATAGCCCTGCACTTCAGCACATATCTTTTAGCATAGGGGTCTGCGTGTGTACCTGGCCATCACTATTTGCTGCATACATGTCGGTATTCAGCAAATAACGCATACATGTACACACTTGGTCAACCACAGTAGATGTCGACCGTGGCTTCTTATAGTCAAAATAATGTCATTTCGACTTTTGATGTCAGCTCGACGTCCAGTCGACGTCAAACATTTTCATTAGGTTTGGGCGCGAAAAATAAATGCCCAACCATTTTTAAGCCTGAGTGTGGATTAAAATATTATGGCGAATCCACAGGCACGTTCATTTTCATTGTAGCGTTATTAGTTTAGTCAGAAATCTAACATTTGGTGACTTTGTGCAGTACGCACGATATGCCATTGCCCATCTACATTGCCCGTACGACGAATAGAAAAAATTGCAATAAAATTTAGCGTAACACTCGGCTATACTATGAAAAATTTAAAGTGTTTTTTTCTGCTAAGGAAAAGCTGAGATAAGCGAGACCCGTTCGCACCGATTGGGTCCCATGGTCGATACAACCCACCAATCACGCAGCGTTATTGCAATAACGCAAAAATCAGTATCACCTTGACCCCAGCTGCTGTCGCTATACTCGTGCGATATTCGCAAAATGCCCGTTCCAATGAGACCGGTCTTCGCCAAAACACTGAGAAGGCGAACCAGCAACACAAAACCGGCTAACCGCACCGCGTTACGCAACTGAGGGTGTGGTGTGCACCTCTGTCCCCATTAACATAGCATCACTAATTGTAAGTTTTCAAAATATACGTCACGCAAATTTTTATTTTTAAATGGTTGAATTGAGCAGTCAGCGTATTTGTTGGAAGCATCATGGTATCAGCCTTTTCTTGCAATAAGTAGCAGCGCTACAATAAACCCCCTCGCCGGTAAATTCTGATTAATAATGCAACTTACGCTTTTATACACAGCTTGGTTCATAGGAAAACACAATTCTGTGACGATGCCATCAGCAGCCAGTCATGCTACGCTCTCGTCATTCTTAAAAACAAAAATCAAAAGAATCGACGTACCTGGTGCAGTCAGTCGAACACCGATCCAGCTGATCGCAGTGCACGCGTGGGACTAACCCAGCCCTGTGAAGTCAAGCCGGGCTGGGGTTCCAGAGTCAGAGACCTCTGGGGGGAAGGGGAACAGGTGAGTGGCCGGGGGGCGGGAGAGAGGGGGAGTGGGGCAAGGAATCGAGGCAGATTGGAGGGGGTATTGGCATCATTGGGCCAGAGTGCTTAAGGACGCACGTCCTCCAAACCTTAAGACTGATGAACTAAGATGATCATTGGTCACCGCAGCACCTTACAACCCTGCGCGAGTATGCAGACGTTAAGCAGGCCTGCATTCTGGTACAGCATAGAACCAGAAGAAAGAACGGCGAACAATCCCTTCCCCAACACCGCGCTTTGTCTTCGCTAAGCTAACGGCATTATTTACGCTTGGCATTTTATCGTAAAAATGCTACCGTACGAACCATTGTTGCACTCTTTAAACCTTACGGTGAGTTTTCACCGTTAGCTACGGTCAATGTAACAGTCAGTCAAGGTGCATCACCGTAGCTTACAGTGATTTTCACCGTAGCTTACAGTGACACTCACCGTAGCTTACAGTGAAAATCACCGGAAGCTACAGTGCTGCAAGTTTCTCTGTAACTTACGGTGAAATTCACCGTAAGCTTTTAACAGTGTGGTGGACATTTCTATGAACTAATAAGGAAAACGATTCGAAAAGTGCCTTCAAGCATCTAAATATCGAAGTTGAAAACAACAAAAACAGTTTAGCACACCCTACTTGTCGATTTCATTTGAGAATGAATTGTGCAAACTTGCAAAGGTTCTAGCCTGCAGTGAGAATGCTTGTCTGTGTGGGTGGGGCTGACAGCTAGCACAGCGCCTGGCCTTGATTCTGGGCGCTGCATTAATACGTCCCCATGGCGACAGCGTCCTCTTATTACTTCAATTAGGACAGCGTCTTGTCCTGCTGGGTCGCGCGGAGTGGACTATTCGGCCCCTTTTTAGTGCGAGAAGTAGCGGCTGCAGGTGTACGGTCAGGTTCGGACGGACGACTGAATATGTCGTGTATACGGCGTTTCAATATGAGTCGACTAAACCTGTTCATCTCCTGCGGTGCTAACAAACCAGTCTGCAACTGCTATCGGACACGGAAAAATGTGTTACACTGATAAATTCAGTGTTCAACTGCTCAACACTTGTAAGTGTTGAACTGCAAGTTAAATACTTGCAAGTGTGCAATTACAAGTTCAATACTTGCAAGCGTGCAACTACAAGTTGAATACTTGCAAGCGTGTAACTCCTCGGTGGAGCACTTCCTACACAGAGAGCGTTCAATCTAAGGGAGTTACACACTTGCAAGTGCACGCCCGGGGTAAAATTCCCATGACGATTCCCATAGGAAAGACTCTCCTATGGGCAGCATGGGCATCCCCATGAGATGCCCATGGGGATGCAAACCCATGAAATTATGGCACATGGGAACCCATGATGAACCCATAGGATCGGCTGGCATCCCCATGGGAAGGTGGCAATGGGAATCTTGCGTATGGGTAGATGTTCCTATGGGGAACGCGGCTATGGGAATCTTGTCTGTAAGTGTGAGTCTGAAATCGATGACTGAACAAGCAAGACTCTACTGACTTCTACCGTCCTGATAGATTATTAAGGGTGTCAGAATCGAGGCGGAGCCAAATCCGCGGTCCGTTTTAACGTAAGTCGAGCCGTTTCGAAGTTGTTAGAAAAATATGCTCAGATTTCAAAAACATTGAAATGGCCCTACTAAAATTTGCCCTAGATGGAGCATACCAAATTTCAAGTCGATATTCCAAAAACTATAGATTTGACAGTGTTCTAAACTTTTATGGGAAATCCTTCCCATAAAAAAGACTTCCCATAGAACAGTTACCCATGTGGAAAGCATTCCCATGGGCACGTTTCCTATAGTCAGAGCATGCCCATAGGCAATTTACCCATGGGTATCGAATCCCTATGGGTAGGGTACCTATGGGAAGTTGTCCCTGCCTATGGACGTTGTGATCCCCATGAGCTGGCTATGGGGACTTCCCATGTACGACGGGGCTGTACATGGGAAAAGTGCCTTTTCCCATAGGAAGGATGCATTCATCCCCATGGGCACCATCGGAATTTTACCCTGGGCACCTAACGAGTTAAACACTACTTGCAAGTGTACGACTGTGGAGTTGCACACTTGCAAGTATTCAACTTGCAGTTGCACACTTACTAGTGTTGGGCAGTTGAACACTTAGTTTATTAGTGTATCTCCTGCAGCTAAACGTTGCCTGGGGGACAGCTCATGTACTGGTTTATGGCATCAAAGCATGTCTTTTGCTTTAAAAGCATAAGCATTTGTTGTCACTGGCTGTTCTTGATATTTTAGAAACCAGAAAGACTTGTTTTATGGTGGCCAAATACCTCTTAGTTCTCAGAACTTAACCCTTCTTCTATGGGTTTGCTAAGGCAGGTTGTGTCCAGCAGCTAACTACATGAAAAATATATAGCACAGCCGATAACTTAATATTAGGTCCCAGAACTAATCTTCGGTCACTGACCGTAGTGTGATTGGATCGTCCAAAAATGGCATATTTATCTGCCCCTTACCGAATTGCCAAGGTCACCCAATGCAAGGTCTCATAGCGCCCGATAGGCAGGCTATATCTTTCCTATAGCGCATTCGTGGCCTCTGGGTGGCCTACCCTGTGTCTTGCAGGCGCTCACCTCTTATAATTTGCCGAATGATCAAAAGAATTTAAGAGAATGGTATACCTTCTAGACGATTCGTAAGGAGAACAAGTACTTTCGCAATGTTACTTGGACTGTTGGAACTGTGCTACTTTATTTATATGTAATTGATAATTAACTATGTTTCGACGATGATTAGTGACTGTTAATTATTGTGCATGTTTCTATAAGGAACTTAATGTCAGTACTGTAATTAAGTAACTATTTCGCATTACTGGTGAAACGTTTTTCAGAGCCTGTAAGGTTTAAACTGCAGGGACAATGACAAAGGGTTTAAAAAAAATCTGGATGAGGCTAAAAATTGGAGGTCGACTAGAATCGGAGTGGTACACCCCCTACATTATTTTCATTCCCAGTTGAGTGGGGTGCGGCGATGACCGTAACGGGTGAAGGCAAGGCGACGTGCAAGGTGCACGCCATGGCGGCCTGACCTGCTGCAGGGCGCTGCAGGGCCCGCAGGTCCGTAGGTGCACGAGGCCTGCCAGCGGCCGGACACCCCTCCCTGCACTTGGCAGGCTTTGGCTCTGATCGACCAAGAGCGGCTAGGACGAGCCGGAGCGGCCGGGACTGTATGCCTTGGGCAGTCTTCTGGTTGAACGCAAGGCATGAATGATCTGGTGCACGGAGACCACTGTTATTCAAGGAATGTGACGTCACATTCGTTTTAATGTGAAACATGTCACATTCGTTTGAATATTGTGTCACATTCGTTTAAGCGTGACTTCAGGTGAGGTGATGCTCTAATGGAGCAGATAGATGGCCGATTCACGTTTAAACGAATATGACACCACATTCAAACGAACGTGACACGATTAACATTGAAACGAATGTGACGTCACATTCGTTGAAAAACAGTGACATGGGGACATCTATCAAATCCTACCAATATCATGGGTCGAATTAAATAGTGTCTATGTGCCCAAGAATGCACATGAAAGTGTGCATACAAATATCATATCCTACCCTTAGGATATCACGCAAAGCGCTCTGGTGGCCTGGCTTTCCAAAAATTTGGCACTCTAAATTGATTGCCAAATTTTGTTAGTCCTTCTTTTAAAAGAAGATGCAAGAACTTTTATTTTTCATTTTTATTCTTTGAAGACTGATTGACAAAATGGCGAGGGTAGAATATTTGATATCGACCCTATCTAGATTTTAAAAATGTATTTTCAGTAAAAATTTGCGTAAAGGGAGATAAGTCGAGTTACTCATAAAAAATTAATAGTTTGGAGACAATTTCTTCAATATCTTGCAAAAGGAGTTATCTCATCTATCAAATATCTCGAAATGCTATATCTTTCATAAGGAGTCAATTCGATTTGTCTCCTTATTCAAGTAAAACCTAGAGGTAAAAAGGGATAGGTCTACTTGACTCATTTTTCACTCCGCCATATCTCAGGAACTATGGCACGTAGGCAAACAGTTGTTTTTGGAAAATGTGTCAGTTTGACTGTAGATTAACGGCCACTAAAAATCTCAGTTAGGGGTTATGTCAGTTAATCCCTTCTTCCGCTACCTGGATCAACTTTGGTCGTTTCTGAACAATTTTGGTTGTAATTGGACAATTTGTTTGTGGGCCATGAACAACTTTTTTGTTGTTCCTGAACAACCATCGACTTGTTTTTTTTTACAAAGGTTATTATTTCTTTACAAGTCAATGTTGTTCTACAACAACACGGAGTTAGTTGAAAAATTAACACAGATTTGCTGTTTATACTAAATGATATTTTACAGTGAGTTATAGCACACAGTACTACGCACCCAGCGCGATAAGATGGTAGAGATTTAAAGAAGGAAGCGAAGTCCATCCTTTGAGACGAAAAAACTGCAGTACCTACATTTGAGCCCTTATATGAAACGACAGACAGCTGATCCGAATTTAATCCTCCGAAATAGGATCAGTCTTTCTTATTCAGCTTCTAGTTAGCTGTTTGTCTCCTTGGCAATTTATTAAGCCTTGTCATTGGAGGGAAATATTGAGCATGACATTAAAAATATAAATATCGACAGTTCTTAGATGGATGTTTTATTTTAAATTCACAGTAAATACCCCTGCTGCATTGTTATTCACACATACGATACACAACTCATCGCCGCTCTTACGAGCTTCAGGTACAAAATATAATTTTCAGTTTTTTATGAACATCACTCTAGAACGCAAGTTTCTTCATTAGCAGGTACATGCTCTGATCAACTTCAAAGCCGTGCAGATTGTTAGCGTCTCCTTGCAGACGCATCAGAAGTCCTCCAAACGACACATACGCCGCTCTGTAACAAACACAAAATACCACGTCAAATTATAAAACATGTAAAACACAATCTGCCGGGAAAAAAATATTATACAGTTTTAAAGTCAATACTGGCAACAACACAATGCGGGTTCACTTCCCGGTGCGAAGCACATATGTTCGAAGTCCGCGGACTAACGCGTTAGTTCCTATTTGCATTCGATAGCAGCGATGTCTCACACAAAGCTACGGCTGCCTCTACCAGTCTGGAAACTCTGCTTCTTCGTAAACTAATCTACTTCAAAGGGTGTCAACTAATATATCAGGAAGTAGAGAGACAATTTTAACGGCCCAAACTAACGCTTTTACCGGCATTTACCATATTTATTCAGTTGGCAATTTGAAAGTAGCTAGAGCGTGCATTGCTGGCGTATCCAGAGGGCAGACGAACTTCTCCCCACCACCGCGCCGACATGCAAAAATCCTGACTGACATTGTTCCTGTGATGACGGGGCCGCACGTCGGATTGTGCAGCCGTACAGCGGCGCGGCCCGAGGAGGGACCGGTAAAGCACTGACACGCCTGACGCGCCACGCCACTTTCATTACTGCAAATTATACCGGCAGCCCTCCTGTGAGGGGAGGAGAGCGGCAGGCCCAGGGCCCAGGCCCTACTACAAGGGGTAGCGTACTCTGCAGAATGCTGGGCTGGGCCGGCGCGCCTGACATTTGTGACCGACCTGTTGGTGCGGGTTCGGCAATTGACATTTAGATGGACGGAATTGAGCGCGAGCGCGCACAAGCTAGAGAGCCGGCCTGCTGGGCCCGGGCGGGGCCCCACCACGCCTCGCCACACCCTGCCGCGCCACGCCAACACAGAAGGGGGCGCCGGCCGCCGGGGTCAATTGGAGCAGAGTCGCCCTGGCACAGTCCCGGCAGAGCCCTGGGCCTAGACGCCAGGCGCCTTCCCTTCCAGCTCCAGGGAAGCAGGTTAGATTCGCACGTCTTCCGTTTCAAGAGCGTGTCCCGAATGACAATTACACATTTGGGCGCAGTTACAGAACAGTATGTTGACACACAAAAATTACATGAGCACAAATTACATACACTTTATATACATGGTTACACTTAGACCTTTTTGTCTCGCTAGACTTACGAGTACTGTTACATTGTCTCGGGTGAACGCTGGTTTACTGCTGACAGCGTGACATCTGTATGGCAGTGTAGATAGTGGCTGTTGTCAAAACCCACAACCAGCTAACCACACTGCCACACCGACAGACACAGCTTTCGTAGATGATTCGAGGTGTTGTAGGTACTTCCATGGGTCTTCGTACTGCTGACGATGGAATTGGGTACTTAAATTTGTTGATAAGTGTCTGACAACCGATTCTAACCTAGAAATTTGACTAAATGCCACTTGTGCATGATAAGAGCATTCTAGTTTAAATGAATGTGAAAAAAAAATTGCTAACCAACGGCCTTATTTTGAGATGACTCGCGTAAATTGGTTGGTCCAATAGCGTCTTTAAATTCTAATTTTTTTGTGGGTGTGTGTGCATTCCACCTTAGTTATCTTTCTCTTTTTATGATACCCAAAGTTCGCTAGGAATTTCATTATCGTGGGCTTATAATTATTTTCCACAATCTAATAGTGTGATGCAATATAATTTGAAATTTCTAGCGTGTCTATAAAACCAAATGATCTACATTATAAAATTATTCTTGTGTTTTTTGACGATTTAGTTTCTATATAAGGGATTGGGAATAAGACGTTATATTTTTGGTTTGCACTTCTCTCTTACAGGTGTCTTTTTTTTAGGTGAGTCAAAAATTACTTTCGTTCACTGTAAAAAAAAACTATCCCCAGCATTATTAACAACAAGTTGAAACTGTTTATTAGAATGCGCTCTAAACTGTGAAAACTGCACTCTATCCTACGGTTTACAATCAATTTTAACAGTTTTTAACTGTACTTTGTTACTGTAAACCGTAGGATATGACACATAGTTTAACAAGTTTAAGCCCATAACTCCAATTATCAGTTTGGAACTGTTGTTAATGCTGTAGGTTTCTTCTACAGTGTTTGTGTGTTAATGTAGAACCGAAATTTTGTGATGTTAGAAACAAAACTCAGGAACCCATTTTATAACAACAATTTATTTATTATAATAAGAATACAGGTTGCATCGTTGCGAAAAAATATACACTTTTCCAAAAGTCAGAATGTTTTTCTTTCATGTGAATTGAGCCTATTTTAAAGAGTTCTTTGACATCAAGCTGCTATCAACAACCTGACCAGACGACTGTTCAGAAAACAAGATGGCCTTTTGCAGGTCATAGGAATACGAAACGAAGACAGGTGTTCGATATCCGCTGAAGAGGTAGAGGTGGCGGGCAAGGCGGGCGGGGGCCGCACGAGAGAGACGGGGGCACTCTGACGACAAGCTTTAAATTTCGAGTATTCGACGGAGATAAGCTTTTTCCACGCATAAACAACTTAAAGAAAAGGCACAGAGAAACGGGAGCTCTCGTCCTAAATTCCTCGCAAATTATGTTTTTTTGAAGAAATTGAAAGCATGTCGTCATAGCAGATGACCTGCCCCACCTACCCTGGTGAGCACCCCGACCAACCACCCACATAAGATTGTTAGACGATCAGCCTCATTCACGAAAGACATTTTTTTTTTTTTCACCAGTTCTGATATCGCCTCACCAGTCCCACCATCAGCCAGTCGGTATGGCAACTAGCGTCGCACACCAATGCAAATCAATTGAATCCCTAATGAACGAAGGGAAGGCAGGCGAGCAGCCAAGGCGACCAGAGCAGAGGGCGGGCCCCGAAGTGTCGTACCAGATAGTGCATTTACACACTGGGAGCGCCGTGCAAATGCGCCTCTGGCACGGACTCGGGAGCCCGGTGGCCGGGGGCCTGGGGGTCACATCCAGCAAGCGGGAGCCATTGGGAGCCGCCAAGGAGCGGCCACCCTCCTCGCTACCGTGCAGTCTCAGCTGCGGGCTGGGTCACCGCGTGGCACCACGGGCTAGTTTGGGATGCACCGGCACGCTCAGCGGGCTTCACTGAGCACGCCCACGTCACACCCAATACCCCAGCCAGATATATTCGTCAATTTGGGTATGTATCTTTTCTTTCCTGGAAAATGAATAGACTTCCTTTAGTTGGTTTATTGGCTTTCACACGTTCTTCCATCCATTTAGCCATATATTCATTCGTACGTTCTACTCATTTGCCGACCCACCTGGCCATCCATCCAGCCATCTATCCACCCATCCATCCCTGCATCCATATGTCCATTCATCCATTCATTTATTCGTCCATTCATCCATTCATCCATCCATCCGTCCATCCATCCATCCACCCACCCATTCCCCCGTCCATCCTTCCATCCACACGTCCATCCGTCCGTCCGTCCGTCCGTACGTCCATAAAACAAAAAAAAAAAGATGCGCTGCCATCGCAGGTAATGGATTCACTAGTATTTGCACAGATAGTCAACCTTATGAATTTCTGCAACTGAGCTAATCGAGTCATTGACTCGGAGAGATTTAGGTAAGAGGAACATGAGCTCTAATAGTCAATACTCGACTACTTGAGGCAATTATTGGTTAGAATAGCACATACTGCTACTTGTTCCAGCAACTCACTATGTGATTTGAAAACCAGCGAATAAATTAGTTGTGGGACCGCATAAATCTTGTACTGCCCGTGTTCATCCACTAATCCTATCATTTACTTATTTAGCCATTCATCAGTCCAGTCCTTCACTCACTCACTCACTCATCCATCCATCCATCCATCCATTTCTCCAGTTATTCACCTACCCATTCATTAAATCATTTAATCATTACTTCAAACATCCTTACTTTAATTTTTGTTCTCGATCCATTCAACCATATTTCTCGTTCCTAGCCCACACGCGCGCGTTAAAGTGATTGACACTTGACACGTGCCTTTGCGGAGAGAGAGAGAGAGAGAGAGAGAGAGAGAGAGAGAGAGAGAGAGAGATTGGTGCTTTGGCAAAGCAACGTGGTGCAGCCCGAGAATAGCGACCACCAGGACGGCCACCCCTCTCTTCCCCTCCCGCTCTCGTCTGCAGCACGAGCCGACAGGTGAGACGAGCCTAAGTTCTGCAATCAATACGACGAGACACGCGCGCTCGCCGGGACAACAGACAAAAAGGAGTGAGACCGCACGTACTGCAGGTCACTGGGTCGGACGGCCCGGGCGGCCCGGACGGCCAGGCCACCGCGTCGCCAGAATATCGACCGCTGGTACGTAAGACGCGAGTCTTCTGCGGCGGCTCGAGCTCCGCGAGGAAGACAGCCCGGTGTCAATCAAAAAGCATGCAGGCCAGCTGGGACCAGAGGGGACCCGATCAGCTGACAGTACTCCGTCTCTCTCACACTCACACGACCACACTCACATACACACGCTCCTGCAGCTGGCAACAGTCATCCTCACACAGTACAGCCACTGTCTTTGTCTAGTCTTTCTATATCCGTCTCCTCTTCGCCCCCTCCCCTCTGCTCTCTCTCTCGCACACAATCAGACTCGCAGCCGCACGCACGCATTCCCTCTTTCTCACACGCAGGTGCACGGCAGCCACAAATAAACGACACTGCTCTTCTTCCACAGCGACGTCCCTAGGACGTCCCTCGGTCGCGTCGCCGAGCAGACCTAGTCGACCTGGGGGCCAGGCAGAAGGGGCCTGCAGCCGCTCGAAATAACGCGGCCGAGACGTCATCGGCGTGGTCCGAGCACGGCGTCGGCGCTGCCCCCCGGCGTCGGCGCTGCCCCCTGGCGCCCGCAGCGCGAGCCGGCGCCCCGCCCGGCGCCCCGGCCGGCGCAGGGGAGGCGGGGGCGGCGCCTTCTCCAGGCGGGTCGCTGGCGGGGCGCGGTCGGGGCGCGGTAGGGGCGGCGGGGGCGGCCAAGGGCAGACGGCAATGCAGGGGCGCCCCTCCGGAGCCCGGCGGGGCGGCGCTGGCGCCACGCGCCGTAGTCCAGGGCGCGGAGCAGGGC